TTTTTTTTCATCTTTGTTTTCTAGATCATAATTTTTGCATGCGAAGTAGCTTTAGTTACTGTTGTTTGATATGACGATTTTATCCTTTGTTGTTCTAGAGAAGTGATAAACTTGGGCCAAGAGTGATGTATGTTTGAAAATATTTTAACTCTGTCGTCAATCTTTAGAACAACAGTATTGGATCTATTCTTCTTATTCCCATTTTTCAAGGCTTCTTACATTGTTAGCAAACTCTGTGAACCTCACTACACTAAACCTGTGGGAGGGTTGCTCTATTTTTTTGTGTTGATTTAAATCTTACTTATCACAATTGTTTACTGAAAAGTTATCTTTCAAACACTCTCAAAATCTGATTTATATTTTTGTTTGTACAGGCATGCCTTGAACTATTACAACGAAGTGGTGTAACAATAAAGGGAAAAAAGGCAGTTGTGGTTGGCAGAAGCAACATAGTTGGATTACCAGCTTCATTGCTGCTTTTGAAAGCAGATGCTACAGTTACTATTGTACATTCACACACAAGTCAACCAGAAAATATCATACGTGAAGCGGATATTGTTATTGCAGCAGCTGGACAGCCAAAGATGGTAATTATCAAAATATATTTTCCTTTATTTACATCTCTATTCTATGTCCTTATGCAATAGTTGTGGAATGTGGAGTTTCAAATTTTAACCCTTGGAACGTGGATTTCTTATTCTAAAATGCTATGGATAACAATAGCTATCAAATAAATTAAGTAGCTTATTTTAAGTTTCTCTTGTGCAGCCCCTTGTCCTTAGTACTCATCCGGATCTGTTAGATGTGCATTGACTTTCAAATACAATTGATAACTGGTGCTGTTTAATGGTATTTTTGAAACTTAAGTTGATCTTTCTATCATGACATTGTATCATTGGTATAAACTATGTTTGCATCAAAAGTACCACAAAAGCTTTTGTTAATTTTGTGCTTCTTCAAGTTATTATTGCCAATCTTTTGATTTTTTTTTTTGAAATCCCATCTATTAGTTGTTGTCACCAATCTTCTGCCTAATGGAAAGTTCGCTAATGTTATTAGATCAAAGGAAGTTGGATCAAACCTGGAGCGGCAGTCATAGATGTTGGAACAAATGCTGTTGATGATCCAACGAGGAAGTCTGGTTACAGGCTTGTTGGAGATGTAGATTTTGAGGAAGCTTCTAAAACTGCAGGTTGGATTACTCCTGTTCCTGGTGGTGTAGGTCCAATGACGGTCACAATGTTGTTGAAGAATACTTTGGAGGGAGCTAAGCGTTATATTGAGCAAAGTAATTGATCTTTTTTGACTTTGAATAAGGTATTTCCTCTTAGTTGAAATTTCTTTGAGAATACTCAAAGTGTGGTTTAAGGTTGACCAATGTATTGTATTTTGTAACACAAGGATCGGTCTTCAAAATAGAAAAGTGGGATTGGTTCAAGCAAAACTATATATTTGCCTTTTCAATATCTTCCGTTTCCTCCCGTGTCTGTCCCTCTGGCTTATATCCCCGACTGTGCTCACATTGTACAATTTTTCAGAAGAAAAACTTTTGATGTGGGTATTGAGCATGTTTTAGTTTCTTTAGTACAATTCTCTAAGCTTATTATTGAGAAGGATTCCCACACAGCCATTAAGTCGGTCAGTAATGGATGCCATATTCATAACTCTTGTTACCGTCTGGTAAGGACCATCTATGGGTTACTCGTGCTCATCCTATCACATATGGTACTTCTAATGATTCACGGAGCAAAATTTTTTACTTCTCTCCGGATATTCTTGGTCTTCCTCTGTTGTATGATGCTGCTGGCACTGTTTTTAGGAAGTAGTTGTTTTTTGTTTCTGTTTTTCATAATTTAGGCGATTCTTTTAATGATCGTATATAAGATTCATTTTTATTAATCAATTACTGAACAAAGTTAATTTCTACTACTATTACCTGTAACACTTTATTAACTACCATTCACCTATAACATGGTTAACCACTTGGNTTTTTTTTCATCTTTGTTTTCTAGATCATAATTTTTGCATGCGAAGTAGCTTTAGTTACTGTTGTTTGATATGACGATTTTATCCTTTGTTGTTCTAGAGAAGTGATAAACTTGGGCCAAGAGTGATGTATGTATGAAAATATTTTAACTCTGTCGTCAATCTTTAGAACAACAGTATTGGATCTATTCTTCTTATTCCCATTTTTCAAGGCTTCTTACATTGTTAGCAAACTCTGTGAACCTCACTACACTAAACCTGTGGGAGGGTTGCTCTATTTTTTTGTGTTGATTTAAATCTTACTTATCACAATTGTTTACTGAAAAGTTATCTTTCAAACACTCTCAAAATCTGATTTATATTTTTGTTTGTACAGGCATGCCTTGAACTATTACAACGAAGTGGTGTAACAATAAAGGGAAAAAAGGCAGTTGTGGTTGGCAGAAGCAACATAGTTGGATTACCAGCTTCATTGCTGCTTTTGAAAGCAGATGCTACAGTTACTATTGTACATTCACACACAAGTCAACCAGAAAATATCATACGTGAAGCGGATATTGTTATTGCAGCAGCTGGACAGCCAAAGATGGTAATTATCAAAATATATTTTCCTTTATTTACATCTCTATTCTATGTCCTTATGCAATAGTTGTGGAATGTGGAGTTTCAAATTTTAACCCTTGGAACGTGGATTTCTTATTCTAAAATGCTATGGATAACAATAGCTATCAAATAAATTAAGTAGCTTATTTTAAGTTTCTCTTGTGCAGCCCCTTGTCCTTAGTACTCATCCGGATCTGTTAGATGTGCATTGACTTTCAAATACAATTGATAACCGGTGCTGTTTAATGGAATTTTTGAAACTTAAGTTGATCTTTCTATCATGACATTGTATCATTGGTATAAACTATGTTTGCATCAAAAGTACCACAAAAGCTTTTGTTAATTTTGTGCTTCTTCAAGTTATTATTGCCAATCTTTTGATTTTTTTTTTTGAAATCCCATGTATTAGTTGTTGTCACCAATCTTCTGCCTAATGGAAAGTTCGCTAATGTTATTAGATCAAAGGAAGTTGGATCAAACCTGGAGCGGCAGTCATAGATGTTGGAACAAATGCTGTTGATGACCCAACGAGGAAGTCTGGTTACAGGCTTGTTGGAGATGTAGATTTTGAGGAAGCTTCTAAAACTGCAGGTTGGATTACTCCTGTTCCTGGTGGTGTAGGTCCAATGACGGTCACAATGTTGTTGAAGAATACTTTGGAGGGAGCTAAGCGTTATATTGAGCAAAGTAATTGATCTTTTTTGACTTTGAATAAGGTATTTCGTCTTAGTTGAAATTTCTTTGAGAATACTCAAAGTGTGGTTTAAGGTTGACCAATGTATTGTATTTTGTAACACAAGGATCGGTCTTCAAAATAGAAAAGTGGGATTGGTTCAAGCAAAACTATATATTTGCCTTTTCAATATCTTCCGTTTCCTCCCGTGTCTGTCCCTCTGGCTTATATCCCCGACTGTGCTCACATTGTACAATTTTTCAGAAGAAAAACATTTGATGTGGGTATTGAGCATGTTTTAGTTTCTTTAGTACAATTCTCTAAGCTTATTATTGAGAAGGATTCCCACACAGCCATTTAAGTCGGTCAGTAATGGCTGCCATATTCATAACTCTTGTTACCATCTGGTAAGGACCATCTATGGGTTACTCGTGCTCATCCTATCACATATGGTACTTCTAACGATTCACGGAGCAAAATTTTTTACTTCTCTCCGGATATTCTTGGTCTTCCTCTGTTGTATGATGCTGCTGGCACTGTTTTTAGGCAGTAGTTGTTTTTTGTTTCTGTTTTTCATAATTTAGGCGATTCTTTTGATGATCGTATATAAGATTCATTTTTATTAATCAATTACTGAACAAAGTTAATTTCTACTACTATTACCTGTAACACTTTATTAACCACCATTCACCTATAACATGGTTAACCACTTGGAGTGGCAGAGTTAACCACTGAATTATTCTGGAAAGCCATTATTAGATATATGCAGCTGCAAAAGAAAATAAAAAGGATGCAGGATTTCTAAGCGTACCTTCCTTATGCCATAATTTATAGCTTAATAATTTTGACTGGTTAACTTCTTATCATTCCCTAATTTACCCTCCCACCTTGACAATCTTGGATAGAACATAGAAATCTAACATGTCATTCAAATTCTCTTTTTCATTGTGATAGAGTTAACCATTTTGGATTAATCTGCAAAGCCGTTAGATATATACAGCTGCAAAAGAAAATAAAAAGGATGGAAGATTTCCAGTTGACCTTACACCATAGTTTATGTCTTAATAATTTTGCCTTGTCTGGTTAATTTCTTATCTTTCCCTGATTGACCTACGCACCTTCTCAAACTTGGGTAGAACATAGAGATCTAATTTTCAACATGTCATTCAACTTATCTTCTTCATTGTAATAGACTGATCTCTGTAAAATGTGTTTGAAAACTTGTTTACCAGTCAAAAAATCACATTCTTAATGTCAAAACATAAAATCAAACTATTAATGTCAGTTTAAGGTGAAAAACCTTGTTTCAATCCATTTGACTTTAAAAAAAATGCTGTTCCAGTCTTTCACAATCTGTCGTTTCTTACCATTATTTCTTAAGAACTAAGCTTCCAACTGCACAAAAAAAGTGGACAAACTGTCATAAGTCTGTGGATTTAGTAAATCTAATTTCTCATTTGAACATTGGCAACTGTCTTTAAGATAGCGACGTGCTATCTGAATTTGGGACCATTAGTAATCATGGATTACATGAAATACTACATCTGTAATTATCCACAAGAGAAGAATTTGTATCTGTATGTAATCAAGCAATGACAATTGTACCTTAAACGCTATTTGCATATCACAGTTCATCTACTATTTTTGTTATAGATGCTTTATGAATGTGTCTAAAAAGACACAAGTCTGGTTTTGTTGTACTTATATAATACAGTATAGTAATCAACTTCAAAATTACTTGGTACAAGCATATTTTTGTATACTACATCATATTTTTATAAAACAATTTACGATGAGGGTCAATACAAATTTTTAGATAATTTTAATATATAATAATCAAATAGTTCAATTATTTTTTAGAAATAGTTATTTTTATATTTTAAAACTATATATATATATATATATATATATATATATATATATATATAATTTTAGGTTTAATTTAATTTTAAAAATTGTTTTATTGAAAATTTTATCTTACCATGATATGACAGTTAGTTTCGTTTCTAATTTATCGGTTGACATTCTTCCATTATTTTTAACATTTTTAAGTTTTTCGATAAAATAATTCCTTCTTTATTTAGAAGCAAAATGATCGATAAATTAAAAATAAATAAAAATTTATTAGAGAATTAAAGATCAAAAAGTAAAAAATAAGCTTAATATCTTCTATTAACAAAATGATGTCTTGTACTTGGATAAAATAAATATTTTGAGTCTTAATTAAATAAAAATATTCAGTAAAGACAGTTAAAATTATGTAAATTTGCGATATATTTAAAAGTTAATTAAACCTTGCTTTTATCAAATCTTCTATTCCAATAACTTCTCTCTTCCCAAGCTTTGAAACTCAGTCACAGTTAAAAGACTAACTTAATCATTTAGCTTCCATTGATGAACTTTTGACAGGAATAATTTAGGAATTGAAAATAATTCTTTTTTCAATCCTACGAAACGATGATTAATACAAACAGCATTTTAGATAGAATAATCTTGAGAATAAATATGAAATAAATTATTTGCAAACTAAAATTAATTTATACCTTACCTATCATTAAATTAACTTAAACATAGAAAATTTGAGCAGTTTAGAGAGTTTGATGTTCAAATTTAGCGGAAAGAGATGCCGTGAAATGGAACGACGTCGTTCAGATCAAAATAAGGAAGCTCCTTACCTTAAGATCCTCACCGTCCGTTTCTAGAATTGGACAAAACTGAAGGTTCAGATTATGGCATGTTTGGATAACACGTTAATAGCAGCAACACTTAAGAAAACTAGATATGAAACTCGTCAATGGCTGTGGTTGCAGTGCAGCAATTCCTGTGCTTCGCAGAATCAAATTGGAGGAATATAGCAAGGCCATGCATTCCCTCTCACACTACGATTCTTCTACATTCACGCAAAAAAATTCAATTTTCTCTGATTTCATGCTCTTCATCACAGACACCAGAAGTTGATACTCAAACAGCTGAATCCTGCGTCAATTTGGGTCTCGAGCTCTTCTCCAAAGGACGGGTATTGTTATTGTCTTCAATTTTTTCTTTCACTCTCCTTATTCTTCAATATCAGAACCGTGTAGTTTTAAGTGGGACCTTAAAAGCTCTTTACTTTTTCTTAATTGATTTTTTACAGGTTAAAGATGCTTTAACCCAGTTTGAAACTGCACTTTCCTTGAACCCTAATCCAGTGGAGGCCCAAGCTGCCTACTACAACAAAGCTTGCTGCCATGCATACAGGTATAGTATTTTTTTTAGAATGGATCACACAATTTTCAGTTGTTAATTGGTTATTTCAACGGTTTAATAGAACTTGTTAGTGATTCTATAAGGCAGTAGTGTTTCTTATTCAATCATATTGAATCCACTACTTGAGTCTTGGAACTTGTATGTTGTGAAATGTTAAGGCACGGTATCTACTTGCCATCACTGCCTTTGCTGAGTTTTAATTCCTAATCCTCGGGAGTTCCTAGGTTTTTAGCAACGAGACGACTAAGCAATTGGGCATCTCTAAAATTGTTGTATTTCTTCTATTTCTTGTATTTTCTTGATGTAATAAACCACATGAGAAAAACCAAGCAATTTAAAAAGGGTATTGATTAGCTAATACTTCTATTTTTATCTTTACATTATAATCTAGATGTTGTTTGGTTATTATTTTCTTGAAGGGGAGAAGGAAAGAAAGCAGCTGATTGTCTCCGCACTGCTTTGAAGGAATACAACCTGAAATTTGGTACCATACTCAATGATCCTGATTTGGCCTCCTTCAGAGCTTTGCCTGAATTCAAGGAACTACAAGAAGAGGTTTCTAGTCTGATATCTTATGCTTTATTATAACTGTTAATGACCGAGTTTCCTAAAAGTTTAAGGTGTTTAATGAAGGCTCATGAATGGCTTAGTATGTCTCCAGTGGTGGTCTCTCTGATGATTATTTTATTCTGTAAAAACATTGATAAAATGAAGTCTCTCTTATGTTTCCTGCCCTTGCCTCCATTGCTACAAACAGCTTGAAATAAGAAAGGATATCATTGAGAGCGATAATATGATAGTCATGAGTGAAAATCATTTGAAAAGAACTTTTGTTCCTCATTGTAATCCTGTCTAATTGAATGTTAAATATTTGAAGTTTTTAAGAATGATTCTTATTACTGTTCTGCCATGCAATCAGGCTAGGCTTGGCGGGGAGGATATTGGCTACAGTTTTCGGCGAGATCTAAAACTTATTAGTGAAGTTCAAGCACCATTTCGTGGGGTTAGGAGATTCTTTTATATAGCACTGACAGCAGCTGCAGGAATATCATTGTTTTTTACTGTGCCCAGGCTAATTCGTGCAATTAGTGGTGGTGATGGTGCTCCTGATCTCTTGGCAACTTCTGGGAATGCTGCCATTAATATTGGAGGTGAATAGTGATATATTTAACTTGCTAAAAAACAATTCTGGATCAATTTATATTTACTAAATTTAGTGCGTCACTTTCTCTTTCTCTCTCTGATTCTGTTTTCTTTCAACATAATTGCGGGTTGTGATGATACCTTTGACATTGCTTCATTAAATGACTAAGCACTGGAATCAGCAATGTGCAGGTATTGTTGTTCTTGTGGCATTGTTCTTTTGGGACAATAAAAAAGAGGAGGAACAACTTGCACAAATATCTCGAGATGAGACACTATCAAGGTTGCCTTTGCGGCTTTCAACTAATCGAGTAGTTGAACTTGTGCAGCTACGGGATACAGTTAGACCAGTTAGTATCTATGTTTTTTTTCTCTCTCTCTAGTCTCTACCACGTATGGGACTTTTTCCTTTTGCTCTAGTATTTAAATGCTTATTTTTATCTGAGTAATAAATAATTATGATGATTATTTGGAATTTATTGGAGAGACAACGTTGTCAGTTTTTCTTCTTCTGTTGTTTATCTTGTTTGGAGTTCATTTTTTATACAAGTTACGATAATATCAAAGGCTTTTACCATTCATTGACATTATCTCCTTTCTTAATTATAATACTCGGCTTCTGAAGTGGTACTTTAATCTTGAAATTCATACATAAATGAGAGGCACTGATAACTTGACACCACTTATCCCGTTTATCTCCTCTATGTAATTATGCCCACTAGGACTAGTGACAGACTAATTTGATTATCAAGTTATGACTGTTTGCTCTTTCTTTTGTAACCGATATATTTTTTTCTCTTTATTTTTGTTCTTCTCCTCTTCAGGATGAATCCTCCATGCTCTAACTAAAGTTTTGGTTTTAGGTTATATTAGCAGGAAAAAAGGAAACAGTGTCTCAGGCCATGCAAAGAGCCGAGAGATTTCGCACGGAGCTCCTTAGACGTGGTGTTCTGGTTGTTCCTGTTATATGGGGAGAAGGTCGGGAAACAAAAATTGAGAAAAAAGGATTTGGTCTGCAGCCAAAAGCTGCTGAATCTCTTCCATCTATTGGGGTAAGACTTGATATAACCTTGTATTTAATATATCTTGCTATTCATCCAAAGTTTTATTTCTTTGGTGAGATGATACTAATCCAAAAAACTTTGCTAGGAAGATTTTGAGAAGCGAGCACAATCCATAACTGCAAAATCGAAGTTGAAATCTGAAATTAGGTTCAAGGCTGAGGTTGTGTCTCCTGCAGAATGGGAAAGGTAATTATGCTCTGATTTGTTGTCTATCAGCTATCATTGTAATATATATTTTCATTAAATGAGGGGAGGAAATTAGCCTCAACATAGATTTCAAAGGGTGGATGGATTGATGTCAACTAAGAAGTGCATGATATAGATCGGTGGAGAGAGAGAAAGAGAAGTTTTTCTAATAGTTATATTCTAACTTAACTAGGTGGATAAGAGATCAGCAGAAATCTGAAGGAGTTTCACTCGGTGAAGATGTGTACATAATACTAAGGTTAGATGGAAGAGTTCGAAGATCAGGGAAAGTAAGTTCCATTTCACACAGTAAACATGCAATGCTTTTCTCCACATTATTGTGGAATTGTCCTTTATTAGTTTGCTGGCTGTCATGAAAAACTGATCACGGTTAGACTTGGCTCACTAATGAGTGCTAATGCATTTACCAGTAACATTCTAATGAGTGCTAATGCATTTACAGGGTATGCCTGATTGGCAGCAAATTGTAAAGGAGCTACCACCAATGGAAGCATTTTTAAGCAAGCTGGAAAGATGAGAATTTAGAGGGTGCAAATTTGTATTATTCTTTTTCCCGTCTCATGTGTCACCATAATCCTGGTATCACCGTCGTTGGTAATGTTCCACAGCAAAAGTTTTCTTCACCGTTGAACTAAATATTATCCATTCCTCCACGATCACTACAGACAATTGCAAAGTAAATGTTACGAAGGAATATTAATATTGATAGAATATTTTGCCGACAATTCATTCTTGTAGTTTATTCGTAAAAGGGTAGTGTTGTACTCGAGTGAAGTTGTGTAATTTTAGACTACACAGAATACAGATTGATAAGTGAATGCATCTGAATTTAACTACAGCTAGTTAACCTGGTTTATAATCATGCTGTTTGAAAATAACACTATCTTTACATGTATTAAGTAATAGTTTTAAAATAAACCAATAGTTTGCATTAAGGACTAGGAGCATTACATAACCATACAATCTCTCAAACCTATTTGATATTTGATGTAAGAGTAATGGAATGCATAAAAGTGGATAGAGTAGGGTTAAGTTTTTGAAAGATGTGGGTGCTGGTGAGTGACATGACATTGCGACAAGAGTTGACATATGTTGTTATCCTAATATATTCTGCCTTGGTCGAATCTTTAGATGTCAATACTTTTCAACTAATCAACTAAGAAAAAGTTTCAATTCAACACTCCATTTTAGGGTGAATAGGTATGTAGATTAGTGAGGATAAAATATGTAACAATTAATGTGATAAAAAATCATTGTTGGTATGCTTATAAAATAATCAATTATTGTAAAAGTTAACAAAATTATCATGCGTAATATAAAATTATTTTACAAGACTTATTTAAACGGGGTAAACTTCCAAAATTTACATCTTTTGCTCGTAAAATTGAAACCCAAGATTTTATTTAAGGAGGATCAAATTTTTATTACTTGAAGCAACTTGTGTTGGTGTGCATATATGTATTAATTTATTTTATAAATAGTTTTGAAATTTTCCAGAAAAATTTTAAAAGCAAATATTCTGGAAAAAATAATTAATGGCTATAACATTAAATGGCAATTGTGAAACAATGGAGCTAATTAAACTATATATTTTGTCTGTTAGGATAAGCACGATTGCTTGCTTTCATCAGAAGCTGTTTTTTAATGTGAATTAGCGAACGGAATTTGGCAGGTAAAATGACTTATAGTGGCCTATCGTGAGCAACATTATTTCAAACCCAACATCAATTTTGAAGGCCTCAGACTCCACAAAATATTCAATTAGCCATATGCGTAAACCATACATCTTAGGCCCAACTTTAGACATTTCAAAGTTAATTAGTTAATGCTTTGAATCTAAACCTAGTAGCATTGATGCCCCTTCATTCTTAATATCGTTTTCTTGGTAGGTTTTGAATGGTTTATTCATCGTCTACCCAACTTTTTCTTCTTAGCAATTGAAACACATTTGAACTTCCAAATCACTAGAATACTATAAACTGAGTTCCTTATTTGTAGATTCTAGATTATTACCATTATTATTAGAGAGTTAAATATATTCTTAGTATCCTTAGACGTAAAATTAGAATTCTTACATGTCATAAACTTTAATATATTTTAATTTTCAAATTTTAAAAATAATTAAATAAATTAGTCCTTTAAGACACAACAAAAATCTATAATGCAATTTAAATATACTTTTTTATTTTAAAAGTTTGAAAATCAAAATATACTAAAGTTTTTGATATAGAAAAAAATTCTAATTTTTCATTAAAATTTATTGTTAAACATATTTAACTCATTGTTACATTATATTCTAACATTAAATTATTTTTAATGTCATAAAAAGAAAAAGTGACATTTAACAGTTCTTTGTTATAAAACTGAAATCCTTCTGATACAAGTTTACCCGCTCCTACTCTCCTAGTAAAGCTTCTATAAAAGGATGGAATAGAATGAATGGAAGACTTAGAACTCTAGAGAAGAATAAGAACACCATCTTCTTCACTTCAAAACAATGTCAAGTGCTTCTTTTCTCTTGGCCATGTTCTTGGTGGCTATGTTCATCATTCCCTCCATAGTAGGGGCAATAGTTGAGCAGCGTGTAAGGTGGGTGCCTAAGACAACAGCACCATGCCAAGGCTCCATAGAAGAGTGCATGGAAGAGGGTGAGTTTGGAATGGACTCAGAGTCCCACCGGCGCATTCTAGCGACCTCACAGTATATAAGCTACAAGGCGCTGCAACGTAACACTGTGCCATGCTCAAGAAGGGGTGCTTCCTACTACAACTGCAAGCCAGGTGCAGAGGCTAATCCATACACCCGTGGCTGCCCCTCCATCACCCGCTGCCGTAATTCTTAGAAAAATTACAACTTTCTGCATGTTTGAGTTAATGTTCTTCAGACTCAACTATGTTTGCAAAAGGGTTGGAAGTGTATTGGAATAACTGTCACAACAATTTGAATGAACAGCAACTCAAACATGCACTTATTTTCATTTTCTTACTCCTCTGCCTTCTAGTTATGATCACCTGGCTTGTTATGTTTTACTTTGAAAGCTGTTTTAGTCTCTATTTCTGTAATTTTATGTAAATTAATCTTCACTGGTGTGGCTACTGTTAATATATTTGTGTTTTTTTTATTGCTTACTCCACCTCAAACATGAGTTTCCACCGGAGAAGGTGCAAAGGGTGCTAGAAACATGTTTATTATATACAATGTTTGCATTCATAGTTAAACATAAGCTTTGAGGTTTTTAAGCAATAAAAAAGTCGCCTATTCAGACGGTGGTGCGTTTTAAATACAGATTTGCAGATCTCAAAATCTTTATTTTTATTTCAAATGAACATAAACAGCTAGGTAACTATCGGGAACTGTAAGTAAACAGTAGTCAGAGCAAATAAATTTGCCTGTGTCAACTTTGCCAATCAATAAGAATTTTCAGCATTACTCCAATTAGCTGGGACTCTACTTGCTTTAATGCGCACTAACTGAACCTTGTGCGAATAGAGTTTTGATACCATACATCTGCTAGCTCAACTCTTCTTTCAAGAATCCAGAAATAGTTAAGATTAAACTAATTTAATCTTTGTTCAGTTACATTATCAGCTGATTAAAAATCACGTAACCTTTTAAACAATCTATTTCAAAATTCAACAATTTATTATGCACAATGAAAGTATAAATGACACTTAAATTCTTAAATATATCTACTTTACTTTGATCTGAAATCAACAATGGTAAGCTTTAGGCTAGTGTTGGAACATGCTTCATGAGACTAGATTTGAGTAAAAGTTCTCAGCACTATTACAGCAACAGCAAAAATAGAATGGGGGCAGGACTCAGGAGGAACATAAAGTAATCAAGAAATTTAAAGTATAGGAAATATCCTCCACAAACACATGGCACCCTATCTAGCACATTCCAATTAGAAAGACACAAGAAATCAACGACGGGGCTTTGCTTTTTACATAGTTTGAACAGAAATTTTAGCTACCAAAGAGAAAGTTCGCTAGATACAGTGTCACAGAATCCTGAACTATGACAAGATACAAAATAAAACAATGCAGTAGAACACAAATGTAACTCAAGCAGAACCTTCTTCTTTGTTCGACTCTTCTTCCTTTGGCTTAGCACGGGCAACAGGGGCCACAGGTGATGGATTTCTCTCCACTCCCATCTCTGCTCTTAGATCATTGATGCTTTCTTCCAACTCATTTATACGGTTTCCCATCTCATCAAGTGCTTGACGTTAAGAAAAACATTACTTAAGCAATTTTTATAACGGGCAAGTCGGCAATAATTATAAATTACAATTATGTAAGGTGATACAATTGGTATCATTGTCCATTCTGACTTAGCCAGCATATATATGACACCACTCAATCACAAATGTACATAAGTTGCTTAAGTCACATCGCAAATTGTATACATTCTTGAGTTCATAAAGAAAAGGATTATGCAGCTGTGAGAAGAAACAATTTACCACCATGATGTATGTTATGAGTTTGAATTTGATTAGCATTTTATAATATAACAGGGTTGTCTATGAATTATAAAGACTAATTCAAAACACAAACAGTTCAGAAAGCATTCCTTGCAAGCTTGTCTATAGAGAATGTAAGTTAGCACCCCGACACCACCTAAGATCAATTGTCATTTGTCTACTTTGAATCATCTTATTTCTTGGGAAAAACCACTATTATGAATTACATTTTCTGAAATTGATTTCTTTAAACCTTACCATTCAATATTATCATAAGAATAAAAAGGATATTCTTTGTAATTATGGAGTCAGACATTGTCTGGAACCTTATTTGCTGGAAACAAAATTCTTGTTAGGAGCAGTGAAATATATACTGAAAATCAGCATTGCAGGTCAACGAGCCTAGAGTACACAACTCACCATCTGTTGAAGAAGATTTTGCACCTAAAGAGAGAAAAAGGAGAAATAAAGGTCAAAATTTAACAGTCAATAGCAGCAATTCATATTCCCACTCTCATCGTGGACTTTGGTCCAGACCCAATATGCAGAATGAAATGGTTATAAACATTAAACTAGTAATCTAAAATCGTTTTCTCAAATGTTATAAGCAACGACCAGTTACTAGCACTATTGGCATTCACATAAACACATAAATGAAACATAAAACACAACGATTAACTCTTGAAGACGCTTAACAACTTACAAAAGCTGTCATATCAGCAGTGCTTTGCTTTGGGTCTTCAGAATCATGTCCGTCCTGTCATGAAAAGGGAAGTACTGATAAAAAAAGATCCTAAAATAACAAATGAAATAAAATTGAAATGCAATGCAATGGACTGCAATACATCCAGTACCACCACAAAAAAAAAAATCCCTAATTGAGCCATACAAACTGAATCGGTTATTGAAATTGAAAACCCTAGTTTCTTAAATATTAAAATTGATACTCCTGTATGAGAAACCAAGCTACTAATGTAATGATGACAGAGGGAAATTAGGAAGGGAGAGCCTAACCATGCTATGATTAAAATTACACTTCCAACTCCTTCAACTGCTTTCAAAAAAATAAGTGCAGAGCTACACTCTGCTCCAATTCTTCATTACTTAACTACACACTAAACAGTGCAATCACTCCCTTTCTCTTCACCTTTATAACACTTATTTCAAAATTTATATTTGAAATCATTTCTACTTAGATTTTTTTTTGTATATTATCCTCTTTCTAATTTCTCCTTTCCTAAAGAGTCTGCCTTTGTTTTATTTGAATTTATTCACTGATAAACAAATATGCTT